GATTCAAATAATTGGCAAGAAGCCTACAATTGGAAACATGACTGAGGATATAAATTCTTTAACAAAATAAGTGAGGAAAACCAGTCAAAAATCCCCTAAGGGTTCTACAGGTCGGCACAAGGCCCCAAGCATGGCAACAAGCCCAATTCACAATAATAAAGTATACGTCTCAACCAAAAATGTAGTAAAATATCTTTCGGGACGGACCAAGTCACAATCCCCAACGGTTCTCTACCCCACACCCATTATCCGGCGTGCAAGTCACCTCAATATAGCGTTACGATGTGAAATTCCGGGGTTTCAAACCCTCAGGACATCATTTACATCTATTACTTACCTCTAGCCGGCCAAATACTACTCCGCGATTCCCTTTCCTTTCATATCGACCTCCTCGCGCGTCGAATCTGGCCAAAACCACAACGAATACATCATAATAGGCTAAGGGAATATAACCCAATCGAAAAGACTCGAAAAATATCAAAAATCACGAATTTTGCAAAACCCGAGCCCCAGGCCCACGTCTTGAAATCCAAAAATTTATACATCAAAATGTTCCTTATATCTCCACGAGTCTATACATACCAAATTCACAAGAATCGGAGTCCATTTGACCCCTCAGATCCCGAATTTAGAATTTCAATCTCAAACCCTAATTTCTTATAATTTGGCCATGTTTTCATGGATTTCTAGGATGATTCTTCAATAAATTCATGTATTTAACTCATAAAACTTACCTCCAATCGATCTTAGTTGAAACTCCCTTCAATCCCCGTCCAAAAGCTCTCAAAATGACTAAAAATGGTGGAGAAATGGGGTGTTTTTCGCGAATGAAATGTAAACATTCTGCCCAGAATTTTTCGGAATTANAGTGCTGTAAAGAAATGCAGCAGCTTTATTTTTTTCGTGCCTAAATCGATCCGTTAACCTTCCAAAATACACCCGAGGCCCCCGAGACCTCAACTAAAAGCACCAACATGTCTTAAAACATTATCCAAACTTGCTCCAATCGTCAAAACACCTCAACTAACGCCAAAATCATCAAATTAAATCGAATTCAAGCCTAAGTTCTTTTAAAACTTCTAAAACACACATTCGATCAAAAACCCGACCAAACGATGTCCGAATGACCTGAAATTTTGCACACATATCCCAAATGACACAATGAAGCTACAACAACTCTCGGAATTTCATTCCGACTCCCGGATCAAAATCTCACCTATCAACCGGAATTCGCCAAAATACTAACTTCGCTAATTCAAGCCTAATTCAACACCAGACCTCCAAAATTACTTCCAGCCCTGCTCCTAAGTTACAAATCACCTCCCGGAACTAACCGAACTGTCGAAATTCACATCCGAGTCCTCTAACTCATAAGTCAATGTTTGGTTGACTTTTCCAACTTAAACCTTCTTAAAAGAGACTAAATGTCTCATTTCTTATCAAAATCGCTCCAAATAAATTCTAATGCACCCAATACCGATAATGAAACATGAGGAAGCAGAAAATGGGACGAACGAGACAGTAACTCATGAGACGACGGGTCGGATCGTCACAGATTTAATTGTGTATGTTTGTGCATGTAAAATCCCTTTATTATACCTTTTCAATAGTCTTTATCTTGTTCTTATTATTATTATTATGACACTATATTTCATGATGTATTAACTTATTTGTTATTTTTTTTAATGCAAGATGTCCTTGCTATTGTGATTAACGGAGGCCCTTCAACATATGCTGCAAATGGAAGAAGAATTCAAGAATTTATTATTATGGATAATCAGTAAGTATATATCTCCTGCTATTCTTATCCTCCATTTCTTCTGCTGCTCCTTCTCTTCCTACTCATCTTTGACCTCCTCTCCTCTTTCGACTGCTTCTACTGGTTATACTTCATACAACTGTCAAAACTTCAGTATTTTAACCACTTGTAGCATTTTAGTTTGAAATTTATTATTCAATGTGTTTGTCCAACATTCCATTTTTCATGAAGCTTTAATATTTTATTTGAGCATCTTCTTTTCATGATTTACAGGAAAAAACCAACAAAATTTACACTGTGGGAAGATTTCATTGATCTTTATGGGAATAAACTTTTGAAACAACTTAATGAATACCCAGTTATTCTTGCTAGAAAAATTGGCAAATCATTATCAGGTATACTGCACATATATTTTCCCTTTTTCCTTTTCAAAATGAAACAACGAAATTAAACCTTAATATTAGAATGCACGCAGGAGGATCGTCGAACAAATTCAATGGACTTTCAAGCAAATTTAGTACAACAATCCAATTCAATCCTCCATATCCACAAGCTACTGAGTTGAAGTCATGGTACTATGCATTTATTTCTTTCTGAATATTGCATATCGACAAATATGTTGTTCATATAATGCATGAATGTGTACAAAAATAAATTTTTAGAATTTAACTTGCTTGTAGGGCCAAAATAATTGAACCAATGCTTAATGCATACACGACGAAGAGTACATCTTCATCATGCTCTGTTATGGTGGTTCCCTTTGAGGATGAAATCATAGCTATTTCCAATATTCAAGCGCAACCTCAGGTAAGAACGACAACAAATTATGTTATTCTACAAAAATTTAATTATTTTTTGTGATCACAAAAAAAGAAATCTGTTCCAATCTTGAATTTTCTAGGGACAAGTATTTTATGTCGAGGCTGAACTTTCTCTACCAAATGAGAACCAACGCTTTTGTGTGTTAGCTTGTTCGGACTGTAAGCAATTGTTCATGAGATCTTTCTCTCGGAGAACAATTTACTGTACAAATTGTCAGCGGTCCACACATCTCATTCCAAGGTATAAATGCTACTAGAATCTTCTCTGATGATCAAAGTTTACAAATTATTTTGTTATTTATTCATCTAACCAACTATTTGCTTTACATCAGAATAGATGTCAATTTGAAGTCACTGTTAGAGACAATAGCGGTTCTGCAACAACTATTATTTCTGACAAACCTGCAGAAAAAATGTTATTCCTCAACTCAGAAGAAATTTAAGACATCTACCATGTCAAGGTACATATTACATACCATTGTTAACTTCAAAAAGATACAGACAAGTATCATTGGCAAGATGACCCTCTTTTGATATATAACTAACTGATTTCGTCCTCCCAGAAACAACTTTTACCCCTTGCAGATGTGCAAAAGCAATTGCGCGGAAAAACATTCAAAATTCAAATGAAAAAATTGTTTACAAGAAGTCAGGATGCAATGCAGAAGTTATCCATTTTATCTTACATGAACAAGGAAAATGAGATCCACCAACAGTTTACCCCAACCATGATGAATGTTGTCAAAGAGAGCAAACGTAAAATTGAACGTCTTGGCTTAGAGGGAAGAGAAGCTCAAGATACAACCAAGCATAGCTTGAAAATGAAAACTCCTCATTTGAAAAAATAATTTTAAAGGTATTTGAACTTTTTAATTCAGTCATTCCTTTATCTGCTCATATTATAAATTTTGAGATCTAATTAATACAATAGTTTTAAAAAATAGCCCAATACATGTATAGTTTCTACATACACCTGTTCTTACATCTTTTAGCATTGTTTAATTTTCTCTTGCAAAGTTTTAGCAATTTTAATTGATGTGCAGCATATTTACTTAGTTTTATTCGCTTTCTAATCTCAAATTAGAAGTGCGTAAAGTAATAACTCTAAAACATTCCAATTATTAGTTTTATGGATTGGTTCATCGAATTTTAATTTTATAACTTTTTTACTAAATGTTTGTTTTGTTCAAGGTGACAAAAACGATATAGATAAAAATGAAATTGCAACCAAGAATTATGAAAGAAAGAAGTTTGATTTCGTGTAACCATCCATCTCTAGCTTCTAATATAAAGTTATAGTGTTTAAAATAGTGCCAGACTATTACTAGCACTAAGGCACCACAGTAATGTGATCTGATTTTTGTATCTCATAGATATATATATATATGTGTGTGTGTGTGTATGTGTGTGTGTGATGGAAGAGTACTCGTGTATGGAAGTTTTTCTTGAGGACTCATATATTTTATAATTGAAAGCAGTTCTGTTGTTGATTTGGAGTGTTGTGGCAGACATTTACAGCTATTTTTTACCATTGTTGCACACATTTTTGTTGCTACTTCTAAATATTATTACAATAGACGCCTTTGATGTTATTTTGCGTTGTAGTTGAAGCCACTTTTTGCTGCTATTTTTGGATGCGATAAAAGTTATCTTGTTACTATTTTGGGATGCGGTTGAAGGCATTTTGCTGCTGTTTTTGGATGTTGCTAAAGCCAGTTTTGCTGTTGTGATATTAGGTGAGTTTACTTGATTACTATCTGTCTACGGTACTACCCTAGCTCTCATATTACTCAATTAACTCATTTTCCAAGTACTACATATTTTTTTCAAGTGTTAGATATACTATCGTGTCTCCATAAGAACATAATAACTTAGTCTTTAATTTTAATCTTAGAACTGCATCAGGCCATTCCTTCTTTTTAGAGGCAAAGATTGACTTATTAGTAATGGGGTAAGCATTCTTCATATGTATTTATTGAACATTTGAATTTATGGAATGACTTAAAGTTATCATTTAATTAATAGATAAAGCTGTACTTGTCACTTTTAACGTTGTCTTGCAGCTGACTCCTTTGTTTGTTGATTAATTTGGCTTTTTTGGTATTGTCAATATTGTTGTCCTTTTTAACTTTTGCTGATTAAAGTTCTCAGCTCATTACATGAAATTTCTTTTTCAAACAGGCCCAATTACAACTATATGTGCAAAGATAGACAATATTTAAAAAGGTATGTAATTCACAGCTAAAATCTGCAAACATCTATTACACTTCCGTTTATCTGAATATATAGTTGTTACTAAAGAAGTTTTTTTTAAAGATACGAGGAAAGATTAACACATACTACCATTATCTCTTCTTTAAAGATGAGAGGGAAGCTTAATAACACATACTACGATTATCCTATATTTACATACCTGTTATTACTACCAAGCATGGGAACATATTACTCCACCAACATAGATACTGAAATCCAGGACGATGCAGAGAGAACATCTGAAATATTGTAAAAATAATTCTCATGGTTGTAATTGAACATTTGTGATTGAAACAATGTTGAAAATAAGGTATTGAAGGGCAACTGTGTTTGAAAGTTTTAAAAGGATTTATTGATTTTCACTGAAAATTTTAATAAGGGACTAGATTATGTCAGCTTTCGCTGTTGAAGTTTGTTGCATTTTTATATTGTCTTCCAAGTGTTTACATCTGGTAGAGAGACCATTACCAGATTTTTTTTTATAAAAAAAAATCAATTGCATTGCTATTGCCCTTAAACATAATGCATTATGTTATATGGGTACTGAAACATGATCTTTTTCCTGTGATTTTGCAGATGTCAATGCAAATAGTTTTGTTGCACTGCAAAGGAGAAGAACAATTATAATATGGAGAAAAAATCATCTTTTATGAATAAATTGTACTTAAATGGATGTAAAATTTGTGCCACTTTCGTAGTAAAATGCATCTCATTTTGTCAAATATGTAAATAGATATATGCATATATGTGTATTCTCATGGATATGAATATTGTGCTACTTTCCAACGATGCCTCAATTTCCTGTCTCTTTTTGCAGTTTCATATTAACATAAAATCAATCAACAAATAATGGTTACAAACTTCATTATATTGGGCCCATGCATATCTAGTTTGTTTAAAAACTAATTCTCATTTTTATCGAGTTCCAAGCACTCTGAACATAGAAGGACCTAGTATTAATCTTCAACCAAATGGGCCTATCATGAGCATCATTAAGTCTAAGTTGAGTATCTATGATGTGATTTCTCATCATGTCATTGAATAAGTGGGGAGAAATTTATGAAGAGATCATAGAGAGGTCCAATTGTCATACAGAAAGAGATAGAGCCCCTTCCCACAATTCAAATATTAATGTTATCCTCTGACAGGATGGAGTTTTTAACTATATTGGTTTACAAAAATTGACTCCGAAAGGAATGCTCCGTCCTAAACCTTCACCATTGTTTTGTGGTAATTGTATACTGCAAAAATCGGAGAGCCCGATTTTATGATCATTATGATATTCTGCAGCCCATTTTCGAAATGCTCGAGTCCAGATTCGAGGCCCCACCTCGAGGGTTTCCATATGCTCGACCTCGGGTAGAGTAAATCAGTGGCTATGATGAACGAATGAGAGATTCCCAAGGCACGTGATTAAAGCTGATCAAGTCTATTAGGATAGTACAAGCCCGTACCGTGGCATTTAATGGTTGTACTAGCCGTATATCTTTGTAATAAATGCATTTGTACTATGTTGGGATTTCCCCTGGTATATAAAAGGGATCCTTGTCATTTTGTAACATACACAATATTATATACAACATTCAATACAAGAACAAGAACATTCTCTGCTCTCTAACTCAAACACATTCTCCCTTGATTATATTACTTATATTTATTGCTTACATTTATTGTATTTCATTAACTGTTCTTCATTTATTGTTCATTATTTATAACCACCCGACCGGTCGTTTCATGAGTTACCGCTCTGTTTCCCCCATTTCTGCTTCTTTATACCTTGTTCAGCTGTATTATATGATATCGTGCTGGTTAGTTTGGGTTCCGAGTGGTCTTGTAGAGAAATGAGACATTTAGTCTCTTAAGTTGGCCTTTTAGTTGAAAAAGTCAACCGGATGATGACTTGTGAGTAAACGATCCCGGAATTTGGTTTTTATGATTCGGATAGCTTTGGAGGTTATTTGGGACTTAGGAGCGTGATCAGAATGGGTTTTGGAGGTCCGTGATAGATTTAGGCTTGAATTGGCAAAATTGGAATTTTGGGGTTTCCAGTTGATAGTGGAAATTTTGATATAGGGGTCGGAATGGAATTCTGGAAGTTGGGGTGGGTCCGTCGTGTCATTTGTGATGTGTGTGCAAAATTTCAGGTCATTCAGACAAGGTTTGATAGGCTTTTTGATCTAATTTGGAATTCGAAAGTTTTTGGAATTCATAGGCTTGAATCCGATGATGATTTGATGTTTTGATGTTGTTTTGAGCGTTCCGAAAATTGGAACAAGTTTGAATGATGTTATGGTACGTGTTGGCATGTTTGGTTGAGGTCTCGAGGGCCTCGGGTGAGTCTCGGGTGGTTAATGGATCATATCCTTATTTTTTAGAAGTTGTAGATTTTCTTCAGTTCTGTTGAAGAGATGTTGAGTGAGGCTGGCTAGTTGCCCTTCGCGTTCGCGATGTTGGTCTCGCGTTCGCGAAGGTTGAGGTTGAGCATGCATCGCGAACGCGATGTAGGTCCTGCATTCGCGTAGAGTAGTTGGAGTGGCAGGGTCCCCAGGATTTTGTGCTTCGCGTTCGCGAGATTTTGACCGCGTTTGCGAAGAAGGAATTTTTGGCCTGGGCAGAATGTTTAAATAGTGGCTTTCGCGATTTTTGGTCTATTTCCACCATTGTTGAGCGATGTTGGAGCTTTTTGAGAAGGATTAAAGAGGGAATAGAAGGGAAACACTTGGAGGTAAGATTTTTGAACTCAATACTCGATTCTTTAATGATTTCTACCTAATTAGACATGAAATTTATGGGATTTAAAGCCAAAACTTGGGGAGTTAGGGCTTGAAATTAAAGACTTTGATTTAGGGATTTGAGGGGTCATTTGTGGTCGGATTTTGATGTATTTGATATGTATGAACTCGTGGGGGCGTAAGGATTCTAGTTTTGAGATTATTGTCGAAATCCGAGACGTGGGGCCGGGGGTCGGGTTTCGCCAATTTCGAGATTCTTGATGTAATTTGATTATTTTCGCATGGGCTTCGTTCACTTGGCATATATTGATGTTATGATTCTGTTTTTTGATAGTTGTTTTCTGATAGATTCAACAAGAGTTGGGGCCGAGTTGAGGGGCAAGGGCATCACAGAGTAGTATTTCACCCGGTTTGAGCTAAGTAACCATTGTAAATCTAGACCTGAGGGGATAAAACCCCGGAATTTCCGTACTGTTTTGATAAATGAGGTGACGCACATGCTAGGTGACGAGCGCGTGGGCGTGCACCCGTAGGGAGTGTGACTTGGTCCGTCCCGTGGCGACTATATAGTTGTATATTTTGGCATATTGTATATGATATCCACGTGTTTTAGAAATCTGTTTGTTAACTTGGACTGAATGCCATGTTTGGGGCCTTTGTGCCGACCTGTTTAGACCCTTAGGGGTATTTTTACTACTTTCCTCACTCTATTTGATTTGAAAGTATATCCTAAGTCATGTTTTACCTATTATTTGTTTTAAACCGGTTTCATCACTCTATTTCTTAATATATGAAAACTGTTTGGGCTGAGTTCCCTAATTTTCACTGATATGCCCGAGTGGCCGTGAGGTTAATGACTGAGAGAGGTTTAGGACCTAATGATGAGGATTACATATCTATTATGGATCGTGCTGCACGCTGTAGCGATATTATATATATGGAACAGGCTGCACGTCGCAGCGATATACATATGGATCGGGCTGCACACCTCAACGATATATATTGGATCGGGTTGTGCGCCGCTGTGATATGACACTTGGGCTGTAAGAGCCCATCCGGAGTCTGCACACCTCCAGTGAGCGTAGTCGACTATAAACTATGGATCGGGCTACACGCCGCAGCGATTATTATTATTATTATTATGATTATTATTATTATTATTATTATTATTATTATTATTATTATTATGAGAAATCTATTGAGCCAGACTGCTGAATGTGAGTACTGATTGACGAGAGCGGAGTCACAAGTGACTGAGAGACTTGCCCGAGAGGCTATATTATGAGTGATACTTTGTCCGAGAGGCTTGTTTGTGACATTTTTATGTTTTCACTCTTCTTTTATACTGAGTCTCTTTTGAAAAGTGTTGAATAAATATTTTCAAAAGATTTTGAATTGAAACTGGAGTTTCACGAGATAATTGGCTATTAAATTGCAGATTTTGACTTGGTATTTCTGTTGAGACTTCTTATGTGATTTTAAATGCTCGTCACTGCACTCAGACTTTATTTACTTTAGTTACTTACTGAGTTGGCGTACTCACGTTACTCCCTGCACCTTGTGTGCAGATCCACGTGCCCGAGCATCAGAGTGAGAGCTTCCAGCACTCTCAGAGTCTATCTGGAGATCGCAAGGTAGCTGCACGGGGTTCACAGCCCTGCCTTCCTCCTTCCTATCTTAGTATTGTGTTATTTCAGACTATCTGTATTATTCAGACAGTGTTTGGTTGTACTTAGAGGCTCGTGACTAGTGACACCGGATTCAGACTGTGTTAGTATATTTTGTACTGGTTTCTGAACACTTCTGTTGATTTATATATTACATATGAAGAATTTGAGACTTAATCGGTTTTAGAAAATGATTTTTTATAAAAAGAATTCGATGTGGTAAATGTTGGTTTGGCTTGCCTAGTACTGTGATAGGCGCCATCACGACCGGGGTATTTGGGGTCGTGACATTATTGATCATAAAGAGCCTTCATCAAAGCTCTCAAAACTGTTAGTCCTTCATCGGCTGCCCATAGCTTAGTATCGAGCTCGACCTCGAGGCACCCTATAACCTGGCTCGAGGCCATGATTCTCAGTCACTCGGTTTGCTTAAACATACTGCTTTCGAGTTATTAGCTTATTTCCTAGTCTCATACTTAGCATCTGCTGCCTAACAACTAGCATAAAAACATATCACTTATTTTTAGAACCACAAAATCAAATCTAATTATAATTACCATTTTCAAGGTAAACAGTGCGCCCACCGTGGGGCTAAAAATAATAGTGATTGTTTTCTTGCTGGTTTACTACATAATGCAAGTTATCTTTTACGCTTTTTCTTGTCCAAGAATCTTTGATTTTAGGTCAAAAATGTCTAACTCAGTGAATGCATATGAAAATAACGGTCTTGAAGACCATGGAGAAAATGGTGTGGATGTTCCAGGCATCGGTGTACCGCCGCGAAACCCTAAAGACGCGCCAGAGCCAATCCCCGCGGATGTGGTCTCACACGATGCCTAACACGTCGATATAAGCTCTCACACTAACATGAGCATACGCCAAGGAGACCAATAAGAAGCTCAGAAAACCCCAGCTCGGGAGGAACAAGAGGTTAACCTTCACGTTATTTTTGAAATGTTAGAGGCACAATAGCTGGCAATTGCTCAACTGCAAAGCCACCAGAAAACTCCAAGCACAGCAGCACTAGAAATGGCTCCTCGAGCTGAACAGGTACCGGAAAGATAGAGTAACAACGGTTCGACAACTGACCTTGCTATTATGAAGATGCTCGAGGACCTCACAAATAGGATTGAATCGGGCGAAAAAATGATAAAAGTTAACGACAAGAAGGTGGAGACCTTCAATTCAAGGGTCAACCAGATACCGAGTGCACCCCCGATCCTGAAGGGTGTTGATTCAAAGAAATTCGTACAAAATCCATTCCCGTCAAATGCCGCTCCAAATACCATCCCGAAAAAATTCAGAATGCCCGATCTTCCAAACTACAACGGAACCT